ATTTCTGATGTAAGAACGTGGCCATTATTTTATTCCTTAATTCATTTGCTGTTTGAATAGGAAGTTCATTCAAAGTTGCTTCTACTGCTGATTTAATATTGAAAGGCGATAATTGTGGTTTATTTATATTGACGAAGCCCAGAAAAGTTTGCCAGGCTGAATTTTGGAATCATTGAAATTTCAGTCGCTGAGATTGTTTCAAATATAATTTTCATATATAATGTCTTTTCTATACTCGGCACCTGTAGCCTGTAGCTTCGTTTGTATCTCTTCTAGGGTTACTGCCGGTTCCAAGCCCGGGTAAAGGAGGAGGATTGGGCATGGGGTTAGCGACCACATCCCGTAGAAAAACTAGCTTGCTAAAAAACGCTAAGCAGAAAAAATAATTCAAACCATTCAAATTCTGCCCTCTAAGTTGAAGGAATAATAATGACGCCCCAGGGTGAAAGCCGAGATCCTTCGTAATTCTTGAGACCGATGCTCCTTCTAACAACCAGAGCAACACTATTTATAAGTACATGGAATGTCCGGACAGTGTGGGAGAACAGGAAGACTAGTCAAATAGCAATGGAAATGTGGAGATACAAATTGGCAGTACTCGGAATCAGCGATACCCATTGGACCCAAGCTGGACAACAAAGGTTAGGTACGGAAATTGTGCTGCTGTACTCTGGTCACGAACAAGAAAATGCTCCACACACTCAGGGAGGTGTTCTGATACTGTTCAAAGAAGCACAACATGCACTTGTAGGATGCGAATCTCATGAACACAGGATCATAAAAGCATCATTCAAACTAAGGAGGAGAGAATCACAATGAGTATTATCCAATGATAGCGACGAAGATAATAAAGATCAGTTCAATCAGAGGCTGCAATGGACTGTGGAGAAGTGACCAGGAAATGACCTTTCCACCATCCTGATGGTAGATCTAAACGACAAAATCGGAATAGACAACACTAGGTATGAAGTTATCGTGGAACGACATGGACTGAGTAGGAGAAAGGAATGAGAATGACGAGATTTGGAAATATATGTGCATTCAACAAACTGGTTATAGGTGGCAAAATATTTCCACATGAACGCATACACAAAGCTACATCGGTCTCAACGGACCACACCACAGAGAACCAGATAGATCATATTTGCATCACTGAGAGATTTAGAAGTTCAATAGAAGACGTGAAAATCAGGAGAGGAACTGACATAGCTTCAGATCATCACCTGGTCGTAACCAAGATGAAACTGAAGCTAAAGAAACACTTAACATCTGGACAAACAGCATTACAAATGTTCAATAGAAAACTTCCTACGAGATGTTGACAAACTCAACCAATTCAGGATAGCGCTCAACAACAGGTTACAAGCCTTACAGGATCTACTGAAAGAACAAGAAACTGCGGTGGAGGAGAACTGGAAAGGGATCAGAGAAGCACAAACTTTAACGTTTCTGGAGGTTCTGTGCCGCAACAAGCATCATCATAATGAATGGATCTCCATGGGAACCTTGGACAAGATTGAAGAAAGGAAGAACAAGAAGACAACAACTAACAACAGTTGAAGAAGAACAGAGAAATTCGAGGCATAAGCAGACTAAGCAGAAGCAAACAAGCAAGTGAGGAAGATAATTAAGTCTAACAAGTAGAAACACATCGAACACTTAACAACGACAGCAGAAAAAGATGCAAGTAAAGGGAATATAAAACGACTATATCACACAACGACGAAACTACCAGGGAAATATAGTAATCCAGAGAGACCGGTCAAGGACGAGGAGGGTAAAATAATCACCGAGATTCGAAAACAGACGAACAGATGGGTAGAATACTTCGAGGATCTATTGAATAGACCAGCCCCATTGAATCCACCGGACATCGAAGCAGCACACACTGAGCTTCCTATATCTGTTACTCCATCAACGATTCCGTAAGGATTGACCGTGCACAGACAAAATTGCTACACTTCGGGTCATCGTGGAACAATCAGTTTAGTGGAATTCGTCACTTCATTGAATATGAGGCGTTTGACAGGGTGGACAGGAAAACATTATGGCAACTTCTTCGACACTATGTAGTTCCTAAGAAGATTGTCAACATTTTCCAGAACCCATACGATGGACTACAGTGCAAAATGGTGCATGGTGGACAGTTGACAGATGCATTGCAAGTGAGGAATAGAGTCTACTCTCCCCCTTTCCTCTTTCTTCTGATGGTTGACTAGATTATGTAAACCTAGACATCTGAAGGGAAACGTGCAATACAATGGACATCTCAGAACCAATTAGACGATTTGGACTTCGCAGATGATCTAGCCCTCCTCTCTCATACACACGAACAAATACAGACGAGGACAACTAATGTAGCAGCAGCCTCTGCATCAACAAGCCTCAGCATACACAAAGGAAAAAACAAGATTCTCAAATATGACACGGAGAACACCAACCCAATCACAATTGATGGCTAAACTCTGGAAGATGTGGAAACATTCACGTACCTGCACAGCATCATTGTGGAACAAGGAGGATCTAATGCAGATGTAAAGGCGAGGATTAGCAAAGCAAGGACAACATTTCTACAATTGAAGAACATATGGAAATCAAAACAACTGTCAACTAACTCCAAACTGAGAATCTTCAATACGAACGTCAAGACAGTCCTAGTGTACGGAGCCGAAACGTGGATAACTACTACAACCAACTACTACATTCATCGTCAAGAAGGTACAAGTATTTATAAACAGTTTTCTACGCAAAATACTCAATATTCACTGGCCTGATGCTACCATCAACAGCTTTATATAGGAGAGGACAAACCAGCTTCCACCTGATAAGGAAATTAGGAAAAGACGTTGGAAGTGGATAGGACATACATTGAGGAAATCCCCAAAATGCATTGTGGGGCAAGCCCAAACTTGGAATCCGGAAGGGAAGTGTGAAACAGGAGGGCTGAAAAACTCATTATGCCGGGAAATAGAAGCAGATATGAAAAGGATGAATAACAACTGGAAAGAACTGGAAAGGACTGTCCAGGACAGGGGTGGATGGAGAGTGATGGTGTGTGGCCTATGTTCTTCCGGGAGGGGTAGTAGGGGTAAGTTAGTAATTAAGTATACTCGGCACCCAATTTTCGTCATACTATTCGGTGTAATCTTGACGAATATTTGCACAAACATTATATGATTTAGTTTGTTATTTCATGTTGTCGTATTAAGGAGTAAAATCACACACAGAAATTATTTTCGAGAAAATTTAAAAATGTGGTGACTGTTACTACATCCCGTCATTATGGACAGTTTAGTCTTCTATTATGGGAGTAAATCGATGTATTCAATAATATCATTCATGGAGTTGTCAATGAATGAATAAGTTTGTAAGCTCTGAATTTTTGGAGTTAGACTAGGTCATTGATGATGTTCATTTCAACGTGTTTTGAAGCTTTATTGAAATTCATAGAACTCTTTAGGTGTGATGACCTTGATGGATTTTGTCAGTTATTGATTCGTATCACAAAAGAACAGATCTGTAGATAGTTTACTGTTATAACTTTCCAACTTCATAAAGGATGTTCATGATCAAGGTACTTTAGCCTAAAATCGTGTGACTACTGAGAAGTACGTAGTAGTTAGAATAGGAAAATGATAACTTTCTTCCTCTGCTAAATCAACCGTTTTGGGGTTCTGAATTATCGTGAAAATTTCCTAAATCTATGATCACAGGTAATATGCAGGGATATGTTTGAACGAACAGTGCTATTGAATAGTTTGGATGGAGGCCATGAATGTAATTGAATAAGCGTAACAAAGAAATTGCATCTATTAAATTCAATTTAGTTGGTTTGATATTGGAGGTTATAGTGAGAAATGGACAATTGCATGTGTTGCAGAAATAACACAAGCAGTAATTGAAAAATGTTCCTAAATACTCGGAAGATTTCGGGAAGCCTGAAGAAAACTCAACGACAAGACCAGACCTGTCAGGAATGAACTTATAAACTGACACAAATAGAATTGTCTTGACGTTTGTATTGAAAATTTTGACTTTGACGTTGACCGGTGGTTGTTTTGAGTACCAGGTGTTCTTCAATCGTGGGTGTTCTGAACTTGCATTCCGTTTGTCAATTGTTGTTTTGGTTGTCAGAGTGGGCATCGGTCTGGTGATTTGCGGAGAGTCTGATCTGTAACCATGTACAAGGATCATACTTCGAAGTGGTATGTGAAACAGTTATGAGGTTACTGCCCGTTTCTAGTCGAAAATCATGTCAAATGTGAAGAAGTGTCTTATTAAATTTGTAATGCTTTGTACTATCCCTTAGTTCATATTCCAACTTAACGTCAACCAGTTTTAGTTGCTATATGAGCATTCTGTGCTGAATGATTTAATATCACACAAATCTTTATGGAATAGAGGAAAAGCGCAACAAGTATTCCAGTAATAATCATATATGACCATAATTGAATAAACCAACTTGGAATTAAGTTTGATAAAACGGAAAAAATAGGTCACTGAACATGCTTATGTTTCTTATCTATTTTTAAGAGAAACTAGAATTAAACTGAGACAATAGACTAAAGGTTCACTTGCAAATACTTTTGACTGACTATATTGATTAATTTAGATGAAACTATGCGTTCGAAATAGAAACCAATGGGCTGATGGTACGATCTCAGTATCATCATCTTAACTCACGGACAGATGAAGAATGAAACTATCTGTTTACGAATTAAATTTGAAGAAATGAAAGTGATAAGTAATGAGTACACAACTGTGAATGGTGTATAATAATTAGAAAACCGGTTTTAACAACATTCAAATCGCATTAATTCCTGATGATTATTACAAGACATATACTTCATGGAATATATTTTTCTTGGAAATGGAAGGCAGTTTTCATACTGATTGTGTTGTTCTTTCAAATATCATCAATTATTCTATATCTTAATCACACAACCGACAATTCAGTGGAAGAAGAATTATTGATTAATGACTCTTTGTTTCACATGAACATGTTGAGCATATGTACGAAGTCGGAGCAAAAGTGGCTTCAATGTGTTGATCAATTGAATGATTTAAGCACAACGAATTATGTGAAATTGTCTGGATTCGATGGATCAGTTCGTCTGTTTCACACACCGTTCAACTACGGACTCCTCGATATACAAATTCCATTTACAATAAATAATGAGAAACAAATGAATGATATGTTGAATGAACGTTATGTTTTGTCGAATAGTAGTGATGTAATTGCAATGTCTGATGTGAATTCAAGTGTGGAAACGAGAAAGCGGAATGTGCATCATCCGAAGTATTTCAATGCGACAGAAGCACTTCATGTTATTGAGGTTGGGTTGTCTGATGACGGAGTAAGTTGTTTAACTGATTGTAAAGACTATATTAGTCTATGTGGGTGTTGACTAATGAATTGTTTGTTCGGTTAGTAAATTTCTGTGTAATCAGCATTAAGCGGCTTGTCTGGAAGATCATTGTATTAGTCGAATACGAGTGTAATTATTGTTCCGTAATTGTACAGAAGTTACCGGTGATCTTACCTTATTTTCACTTGTGACAATGAGTTGATGCCTGATGTGAGTTTTTACTGGAGAGACAAACGGTTTTACTGATTCCATAATTTCACATTATGGACTGATCTCAGTGACATAGTTGGTGACAAACTGAAAAGCAGGAGAGACTGATCGTCTGTCTCAATCTTTTGCGAGACTCTCCAGCAGTGCATATCCAACCACCTGGAGACTGACCGAACTTTGGACTATCAGGTTGAACATTCAAACCACCAACTGATCCGACACGTATTAGTGCACGTGTTCAACTTAGTCATTTCGTAATACCCATTACCGTTGGTGATATTTTGCTCATACAAGACTCCAATGAAATCCAGTGGTCATTGAATCTCACTAGAACCTAGTAAATTATCTCGTCGAGTTAGTCACTAGTAATTATATGATCAGTCAATAATGTAAAACTATCAGATTCCCCAATCATCATGACATTCCACAGTTAGTTTATATGAGCGTCTGAGACAATGTCACTTCAAGCACGTTTTACGAAGAATTTGAGAATGAGAGATGCAACATCTGTAAAGAGTGAGATAGCTCAAGATCCACTTGATAGCAGGTACATTGTTGATGTTTATCAATCTTTCAAAATGATCAGCTGATAAAATAACACATTTTCTCTTGGTTTGCGTGGAGTAGTAGAGATTAGTTAAACTCTAACCAGATTTATGTGCCCAGAAAGAGACAGTGATCAAATTATCATTACCTTGGAAGATTCACAACGACAGTTTGTAATGAATGAAGCAGACAGTGAACACAGTTTCTAACTATTTGAAATTACACGTTTTTAAAAAATGTTATAGTTTGATAAATATAACATCAAAATATGCTGGTCAAATTATTCATATAAAATTACAGGATCCAGAAGTACAGTATTCGATAAGAAAATAGTTTAGAAGGATAAAAATTACTGTTTGGTTATACGAAGTTGAATAACTAGCATAATGCGTGGGGTAAAGTTCAACGTTTTATCATATAAAGGGTTACAAACTAATTAACTGGAGTTGTTATAATATACTGAATATACATATTGTAAAAGTAGTATCCAACCTCAAAAACTGAGACTAAACTCAATTATCGTAGTGTAATATTTACTCAAACAAGAACAGTGGATTTTAGAGCACTTTTTGTTGATATAAATCTCATGTAGAAATAGTTTGTCCTCTACCAGTTGATCAATGTGATATTTACGTAGTTTCTTTCATTCTCTATTCCAGATGCCAGTCAACGGAGGATCGATCATTGTTGTACAACTACCAACGAGCGCTTGCAGTCCCACCAAACCACCAGAAAGTCTGGATCTCATAGTAATAGTGAAGTCGTGTATCTATTGCTTTGACAAACGATCGTACGCTCGAGACACCTACATGAAATCACACCTGTGGAAAGATTTCCGAATTCGATTTGTTTTTGTTGTTGGACTTCCGACACCGAATGAAACGGATGTTTATCATTTCGATGGAGTCACTGTGAATCTTGGTCGGAACGCTTTTGGACTCTCTAAACTTTACAAGAACTCACGATGGATTGCTGCTAAGAAGCTGTATGACGAGAGTCGAAAATTCAATGACATGTTGGTTGGGTCATTTCATGATACCTACTTCAACTTGACGTCGAAGATGATGTTGTCATATCGATGGACTACTACATTTTGTAAAGGACAAACACCATTGTATCTGTTTGTTGATGACGATTATGTATTACTGCCTGGAAACACTATTCGACTTGTCAGGAGTTTGAATGCTTCTGTTTTGAGATCGACTGTTGGAGGTCTGGTGCATTATACGAGTGTAGTGGCAAGACCATCGAAGGAGAAGTTTGATTTGAGATGGGCGGTTTCAGTGAATGAATACCCATGGGATTACTATCCACCTTACTTCTATGGAATAGGTTATTTGTTGGGTTCAAACATTGTCAGTGATGCTTCTGTGGCTATGGCTTTCACACAAAGTCTTCGCATAGATGACTCGTTTCTAGGGATTGTGTTGAGTCGATTGAACAGGACACTGACTAATATGAAAGAGTTTTCTATGGATGAATCAACACCGAAAACTAAATATTTTCTAGTCATTATCGATATAGATACTGCTGATGATATTATTAATTGGAAAACTGGCGACATTATGAACCATTAATTACGTGTTTTCTACGGTGATTGAACGAAAATTCACAGTTTTATTTTTAATTTTTACTTATCTTGACATGAATGATACTCTTAACCTGTTAAGTACTCCATCTGAATGAACCAATGCATTAGTCAACATGAAATAATTGTGTATAAAACAAATAGCTTATCAAATTATGTTATGATCTCATTATCTACTGTCGAATCCACTTTTGAAATAACTGATCCACTTATTTATTACAATGTTTCTAAATGCATTGCAATTGTTCAATATATTTTCTAAAAGTATTTTTGTTATGTCCCGATAACAATAGTGAATGGTAACTTTGGGATCCATTTATGGACCAATATTATGCATATAATTTTTATCGTATATTTGCTAAATAACTAAACTATTCATATTCATGTTCCCCATATCATGAGCTGTATTTTGACCTATAGACTATCATTATACGATTTACCATTCTTGAGTTATCCCTAGTCTATTAATTACTGCCTCCGACATTCACAGCCACATTTGGCTAAATCTTGTACAAATTTTATTTTTTATTTTATTGGTACGATGTGGTCAGTCTGTTTGGTATATAAACTCAATATGTTTGAAATATAATGATTCATATTGTAGAGGCTTTTATTGGTGTTCTGGACTTAACTGGCTGGGGTAGGCAGAAAGCGGGACCGATACGTAATCTAGACTGCTCGTACGGTTTTCGTGTGTCCCTGTTCCAATCGGTGATTCGCTGCTCTCTGTTTGGCGGTTTTATCACGTCATAAGTTAACAAGGCATCCACTCGGCCACAAGATATAACAATTTTTATATTAAGATATTATTCTATGCTGTTGCCTTATTTGTTCTCTTCATTAAACTTTATTAAATAAGTAAGTAACCATCATGTACATTCTGTCCTTACGTATTATTTGTTAATTGAAAAAAAATCACTAGTCAAACATATGTAGTGCTCATGACTGAAAACAAAACCGAAGGAAATGCTTTTTATGGAACTTCTTGAGTGAAAACATGAGATTCACTAACAACGACACTCTGATGAAATTTATTGTAGAAGAAATCAAATGCTTAGAAACCTGTTTTAATGTGATATGCGTCAACTATTTGAATTATTTGAAATATAGTGAAAATGAAAGTGTTGCCTTTAAGTCAACATCTGGGAGCAGAGTGTTGCTGAATCGGATAAAAGTCGCAGTTGACACCCAACTTCGAGATCAACAAACTAGATCCCTTAAGGATCGTTTATACCCAGAACAAATTGCGACAATACGGATCATCGTTGAACAATCAGTTTAATGGAACTTGTCACTGTACATCAACTTGTGTGATTATGAGAAAGCATTCGACAGTGTGGATAGGAGACCATTATGGCAACTTCTTCAACACTATGGAATTCCTAAGAAGATTTTCAACAATATCCAGAACTCATGCGATGGACCACAGTGCAAAGTGATGCATAGAGGACAGCTGACAGATGCATGGAGTCAGATAAGGCTGTTTACTCTCCCCCTTTCCTCTTTCTTTTGATGGTTGACTAGATTATGTAAACCTCGACATCTGAAGGGGAACTCGGAATACAATAGAGATCTCAGAATCAATTAGGAGATTTGAACTTCGCAGACGATCTAGCTCTCCTATCTCATGCACATGAAATTTCATTACCAAATGACCATACGAAAATTATGCCAGCCATCCATAAACATACAATGGGGATCAGTACACTCCAAATCAATAACATTTCCGAAATGGATTACAATCAGAAACAATTTATTTCTCTATCATAATAGAAATGGATTAGTTATGAAATATCTTATGATTTCGAGTTATTGTGTTTAATGATGAATCGCGTGAAAGTTATATTTTATTCAGTTCAACAGAACCTTTTTTTCTTTAATCTATTGTGCTTAGATTTAATACCATCCATTCTACATATACTTCTTGTAAAATTATAAACACTTTTAATCCTCGTATTTTCAATATCAATATATTATATTGATTTACAGGGAATTGACTAATTTGTATAAAGTTTTTAAGTATTTCTTATTCCATCAGTTTGCATAAGTGTTTCCAGCAATTTATTATGGTATAAAATTTATTTATTTAATATATTTGCAATGTAAACAATTCACTTTCTTAGTATCGTTTTGTATACTAAAGAAAGATTGTTAGCATTGTAATTTGATTATTTTCAGATTAGTATACTATGGTGTAATGCATTTGAAATTAATTTGTAAAATGTACAAAGCATTGTAAAAAAAAGCTTAGTGCTTATACACTTTTCTGTTATATATAATCATAACATCATATTGTAATTCATGTTAACCAAGAATATTGGATGCTAACAGACAACAGTTTTTATTTACACGAGATCCTGAAGATCCAGGATATCTATCTAAAGCCAGTTCTATTATGATTCAGAAATAAATTGCATCTGATTGTAATCGATTTCGAAAATGTTATTGATTTGGAGTGTACTGATTCCTATTGTATGTTTGTGGACGGCTGGCATAATTTTCATATGGTCATTTGATAATAACATTTCACTTAATAACTATTCACTGTTTGACTCGGTTTGCGAGAATGTCTACTTTAAACAATGTACACAGTCAAGACGTTCATGGCTTAGATGTATCAATAATATAAACAGACCGAACAGACAACAGAGACGGAACCACACAGCACTAACGTCAAACTGGCCACCGTCTACTATACCTGGATTGTTTGATGATGAATTCCCAGTAATCAATCTTGCTTTACGTATTCCATTTACTAAAAATGCTGAAAATCCTTTCGACAGCCCATACTATCGAAAATATCTACACTTTACGACAAGAATTGAGGACAACATGATGAGATCCCCAGGTCTTTGGTCATCTGGATACAATTTATTTCCTCAAACATTAGATTTTGACAAAGTGATATACAATGCTGCAAATGGTTTTCCATCAACCACAGTAAGTTATATTAGTTATTTCTAGATAGGTAACCTTAAATACTGGCATCAAAATATATAATTGGTGTTTAATATTCGCACTCACTCATTTTGACGGAATTCGAGTAAGGAGTGATCTATTTCGCTGGGAACAGAATCACCCTGGCATTAGCCATAAAAGTCTTCTTGGACTTAGTTAGTCGCCACCATCTTCGTACAGAAAATACGTTAGCCAAACAAGATCGAAACTTAGTCTACTTTTTCCGCTCATTGCCTATTGCACAACTGCCTTGATACTATCGTGATATATATTTCACATGTGCGTTGTTTCTCAGTGCAACCTGTCAGTGGATCGATAGCATTCTAGTCACATATTATATAAGTAGTTGAATGGCAATGGTATAGTTTGAAGACTGTTTCACTGTACTTTCATTCCGTGTCCAGGCCACAACAAACTTAACACGTCGACTTACAAGATTGTATATAGCTGTGACATTCTCACTTTTTTGTATGCAGAAAAAGAACGAACAAAATTAGAAAGATATTAGAAAAATAATATTATTCGGTGGAAAATACTTAATTTTCTAGTTACATCTCTTTGTTCAGTGACCATGACGCATTTTTTCTATTTTCAGTTGCCAATAAACAATCCAGACATATTAGCATTACGACTGCCAAAAAGTATTTGTAACCCATGTGTGAGAGAACGTGCTCCGGACTTAATTGTTGTTATCAAATCCTGTAGCTACTGTTCGGATGAACGTGATCACGCACGAAATACATTCATGCAGAGGCACTTATGGTCGAATATCACGGTCCAGTTCGTCTTTGTTGTGGGTATACCCTATCCAAATGAATCAAACATGTTCACATTTGGTAATAACAAATTTAAACTGAAAGATTCTTGGTGGAGGTTATCGAGAAAGCATGACAAAGATAGATGGACATTTATTAAACGACTAGCAATGGAAGCAGATTTTCACGAAGATATTTTGATTGGTTCTTTTCACGATACATATTTTAATCTGAGCACAAAACTCGTATTTACATTTCGTTGGTTATCAGCACTTTGTCCCAATACAGTGCCGTTATTCCTCTTTATAGATAATGATTATGATTTGGTTCCATGGAATGTGATCAAGTTTTATAGAAATCACACAATAGATTGTTTGAGAGACTTGACTGGCGGAATTCGACACAAAAATTCCATGGTTATTAGACCAAGCTATGATGGCAATATAAGTAGCATTTGGGCGGTAATGTTGAAGGAGTTCCCATGGTCAAGATATCCTCCTTACTTTTATGGAGCTACCTATATTTTGGGCTCGAATATCGTCAAACGCCTAGCAATTGCCAGTGCATTTACTCAGCATATTCGTATTGATGATGCGTACTTGGGCATACTCTTCAACAAACTGAATATTATTCCTCAAAACCTTGACATCATTTCTCTCGCAAGTGGGGGACCCGATATAGAGTCAGGTGCAATCAATGTACCACACTATATAAGTAAAAGGATAATCGATTGGAAGACAGGTAAGCTCAGATTCAGCCATAGGTAATACAGACGTTTGCTGTTGTCAAAATACTTTTTTTTTTCATTTTTCTTATTCACTTCATTCGCCTAGAATATCTGACCATTTGATAAGGCAGACCATCACTTAACACCAATGTGATCACTATATCTGCCTGTAGATCATATATATGGGTAATTTTATTTTGACATTTCAATTACCAAAGTAATTATGTGTGAATAATTTGCAGTCGGATGAAATTGAATTTGAGTGATTGTCTAATTGATTTCTTTTCATGAACTAAATTATATTTAATTATCTTCCTGAAAACATTTTTCATCTATTTGAAATACTGTACTAACGAACTTGGATGCTGTTCATTCTGTCGATGCTTTTCAAATCGTCATATCAAGTGGTATTGCAAAAATGAAATGGTTTCAATAATTTTTTTTATATTGAATATATTTCCAATCTTCACATTTACACTACATAATCACTTGCTGGTTGACTAGTGCGAGATTATTTACACTGCATTTCCGTGCAATACGAATAAAATA